CGTTAGAATAGACTACAATAATCCAAAAATTGGACGAGAATACAGTAAAAACTCTTATATAACGATAGAAAAATACTACGTTACAAAAATTAAAAACCAAATAGAGTAAATAAAAATATACGAAATAAAAAATAAGCAAATAAGTAAGAAAAAAAAAGAAAAAATTAATCCAAATAAATAAAAAAATCCTTCCCGCTGAAATAACCGTTAGAACTAATAAAAATAAATATAAGAAAGCAAAAATAGTAAAAATAATCAATGCAAACAATAAATAAATTAATAAATAAATTAAAAACTGTCCCCGCCAAAATAGCAGAATAAATTACAGCAATCAATCCAAAAATTGGAGGAATAATAGTTTTATCTACCCAGAGCAAAACAAAATATTAAATAAGCGACCTAAACAAATCTCCCCAAAATATTTTTCTACATGAATATGTTTACTACGTTAATAAAACCTCGGGAACGAAAAGAATAAATAAATGTATAAAATAAATAATAAAAATAAAAACAAGTAAAATAAATTAACCCAAATAAATAAACAAGCCCCTACCGCACAAATAACCATCAGAACGGATTACCCACAATGCACCACTGCCTGATTTCTATAAATAGTCAAGTAAAAATTCAATACTCGCAGCCTGACGATTGGGTCTAGCATGAAACAGCCCGTCGTCTCTGGGTGTTTACTTCAATGTTCACTTTTATATTTACATTTATATACGCACTGTCCCTGATACTGAGCACGTTATCTCATAAATATAGCACAAAACTTAAATATATATATATATATATATATATATATATATATATATATATATATAGTGCGTAGTCCTCACTGACCAATTTTATATTTACATACGCTCTGTAAATTTAACTCATAAATATAGTATAACTTAAACCTATAATTTTATTATTATATATATATATATATATATATATATATATATATATATATATGTGTGTGTGTGTGTGTGTGTGTGTGTGTGTGTGTGTGTGTGTGTTTTAGAATATGCTATAATTCTAGTAGAAGAGTGCTCAGTACTAAAATTAGTGTGTTTGTAGATATGAACAGTATGGAAAGAATCAACACTGAATGCTGACTGTCAGTTCCATGCCTCAGGCAATCTTCACACCAAGAACCATTAATCATTTAACTGGCTCCTTGTAAATAGTGCAAAAACGAAAACAAATTCCTCCCACGTTGCTTACAACTTCATCAGGAACAAAAGACTGAGTGATACTCCTTAATTATAATGTAATAAAATTATTAACAATGTCAAATTTAAGAAGAAAGGACAAATATAGAAACGAAATAAATTATATATATATATATATATATATATATATATATATATATATATATATATATACCCTTGCAAATTAATTGAAACAGCTGCTTTAGTTTCCTTTCTTTCACCATACCGTCAATGTTAGACCCACTGGTGTGAAAGGGTGTACCCGATTTTCAATTTTTTCATCAGGTTAGGTCATTTGCTGTAATATGAGTCTGTTTTCGGGGTGTATGATAGAATTTGTTTGGCCTCGAAAAATATTGCATCATGCGTGATTGCATAAGATTTTCATCACGTCCAGACACTACTGTCTCATCTGTCGATTACTTGTCCTACGGTCATTGTCTGCGATGGACGTTACTCCAAGGAAGCAAACGAAAATTAGAACGCTGCACGAACACACTGACAAGCTTTACCAGTGAGCAATCAAAGTACTATAGACTGGCTCGGAATCTCGCCTGATTTAAATCCAATCGAGAATCTGTGGTTAATATGTAAAGAGTGATTTCGTGGAATGGACATACGAAGTACTAACATGTGCACTGGGTCATCTTTCATTGGAAAATAAAAAAAACGTAAATACTACTTTTTTCAGTTAATTTTCACAAGGTTATATATATATATATATATATATATATATATATATATATATATATATATATATATAATCCTATGCATTATCCCTAAAACACCAGGGGAGGACCAGTTCCGTCCTTCGATAATTTCTTTTAACTTCTCAGTGTTGACTTCTATGTCCACACTGTCTTTCTTTCTTTTCCCTTTTTAATTGTCTTTATATATTGTATTATTTAAGCGTTATTTTTAGTTATTACCGATACTTGAGTAGCTACACCGTTTATTCAATAAACTCTACATTCATTTTCGTTAACCGGCCGGAATATTCGAAAAAATCTTATTAAATATGCTCTCCCCGGTGGAATTCGTACCTGCGTTACGCTTAGTAGGAGAGACCGTCGTTAGATCCGGCGAGCTTCGTACGCCTCGGCCACGAAGTGCGTCGACGATCAAGCCAATTATAATAGTGCTTTATAACTGCAAATCATTCTCAGATGGAGTGTCTACGCAAATAAAGGTATCCGCTAATAATTAGGTATAATAAAATCTGACTGTTCATAAATAAATAACACATAATGTTTTTTTTAGTTTTTTTTTTACGAATTGCTTTGCTTACTTTAAGATACGCAACTGAGAATACATGTATATTTTGATTGTCTGTGAAAGATTTTCATTTACAAAGTACTACTCAACTATTCAACTCGTCGATGCAGTCCATATCATTAAACACACACACACACACACACACACACACACACACACACACATATATATATATATATATATATATATATATATATATATATATAAACAAATGAAAGTTCGAGCATCTATTTTTTTAAAAGTTCTCAATAAAAATCAGAGCAATATATTATTTTTATATTTATTATAAAAGATTATAATAAAACATGTTGAAATCCCTACACAAAAGCTTTCATGTTTCAAAACTATGATTGTATTCTTCAGGCGATGATAAGTAACTGGTGATTAAATGATTTTTAAGGAAATTTTAAAACAAAGTGTTACCTTTTTCCCTACATTAAAGGAGGGGTTATAAGGTCAGAATTCAAAATAGACTTGATTGAGTAATCGTCAGTGATGGCCTGTTTATGTTTCAGTTTATCATGACATGAAAATTAACTCACCCTTCTCCACCCTCTGAGCTTAATTTTCTATTTAGTGTAGATCTGATATTTCATTGGTTAATGAAGACATACTCACAAGTTTATTTTTAATTCTGACCTTATGTTTCCACCTATAATCTTTCAATAAAAACACGCTAAAATTAGTTATAGTTGTACTAATAATCTAGAAAAAATATTTTAAAAAAACAATAATAAAATTTTAAATAAACATTTAAACCTAAATAAAAATAAGAGTAATTCCAAAAGTCAATAATTTCGAGAATGAAATATGTAATTGTAGAAATCCTATAAATAGTCCATTGGAAAATAAATGCCTTACTGAATATATTGTTTATCAATGCACTATTTCATCGAGTGAAAATCCAGGTATTAAAAATAGTTATATTGGTAGCACAAAAATCTCTTTTAAATTAAGATGGTACCAGCATATTTCTTTCTTTAACAACAACATATTCCGTAAACAAACATCTTTAAACATGTCTAAATATTTTTCATAGTTTAAAAAAAACAATAAAACTCTCACAGTAAAATGGAAAATAACAAAAAAACGAGAATATGTAAGTACTTAAATGACCCTTACCCCCTGGGTCTACCTCAAAAGTTATACAATATTAAGTTTCTTAAAAAATAAGGATCAATTAAATCATCGAACTGAGCCTATTGTCATGTGTAGACATTCTAAAATGTTCATTTTAAAATATAGTTCAAGAATTTCCCCAAAAGTTTATGTATTACAGTTATATATCCATTATTCTATTATATATTATGGTACATGTAATATTCATTTAATTCCTTGATTTTTAATTTTAAATTGCTACGTATTAAAATATTAAAATGACTTAATCAGTAAAATAAAAATTGTATTTTGGTTCAAACATATAAAAAATATTTTAATCATACCACGTTAAGATAGTTCTAAAATATATAGTAAAATACATTTTAAAAATAAAAAATAACCCATATTCAGGGATAAATATATCTCTAAGAATATATCTTCATAACTTAAATGTATACAATTTGCCGGAAGTAAGATGTCGAGCCGTTAATATGACAGTTCCCCGAGAGATGTATGAATGCCAAACATCCACCAACGACAACTTTATACTTTTATAAATTTAACGTTGCGTTTCCTTTTCATTAGTTAAAATTGACACACACATAAGATCTAAATATCTGGATCCTCACTCCATATTAACTCTTAAATAAGCAAAAATATTGGTTTCTATTTACAAATGTAAATCATTTTCACAAAAGTTAGCTAACATTGCCTGATGACGTGATAAAAACTTTAAGTCTCGAAACATAGAAATTTCCGTGTCACAATATAGAATATTTTTTATAAAAAAAAAATTATAAAAATATTGAGCTCTACGTTTTATTGAGCACTTTATTAAAAAAAAAAGTAAATACCAGAGAACTGTGGATTTTAAATGTTTGTTCTTACTCTTCATTTGTATATATATATATATATATATATATATATATATATATATATATATACTGTGTGTGTGTGTGTATAATTATAAATAAATTGTTCCGCTTGTAAATGTTTGATTTTCGCACAGTCAGCCAGGGCAGGCTTGAACTCAATCTTCAAAGATGGTCTAAAGACTGAATTCAAGACTGAAACTCAATGTCCATTGTTATATATATACTGAAAATCGCTTGATTCTCAGGTTACCACTAGAGCTATCCTTTCAGAGAATTTAACGTTGATAAGCGTTTTTTGCTAGGTCTAGGCAATCTACGGTTCGAGCACTTTACTATACTGAGGCCTTTTTTCTCTTTCTTATTTCAGTATTGTCTTTTCATTCGAGACTGTATCTGGATAAGAATTTTAGGTTTTGGCAAGTTGTTGGTTCCATCAACGTTTTTATTTTTCTGTAACATATCTGTGTATGTCTGTGTGTGTTTCTGTATGTGCGTGTGTCTGTGTGTGTGTGTGTGGTGCATTTTGGTTGAAAAGTAACCCCCTCCTCTCTTTATGCTTTCTTCTGCATGTGTCTATCACAGTCTTGAGTCCACAACTGTCGTACGAGTGGGTCGTTTTGCGGAATTAACGATCTGGCCCGTCTGTGCGCTTCTACTGGCGTATTGAGAGAGGTACGTTCTGCTGGACCGACGCACGCTTTTCTCATTGGTATATTCCTTCCGCCCGTTACACTTTCCACAGTTGTTGCAAAGAGTTCGTTTGAAAGCTTTCCGATACCGGCGAGAGATCAGATTATACAAAAGTGGGTTCATCGTTGAGTTGAAAAAGAACAGTATTCCTGCAAGGAATGAAAAGTAAAAACAACACATTAAAAAAGGTGAAATACTGTATAATGCAATTGTTAGCAGAAAAAATGTTTTACTTTAAATTGTTACGAGGATGATACCTTTTGTTATAGAGGTAGAAAACCAAGAACATACATTTTATCTTTTCTGGAATAGAAACACATTTCCGGAAAATTAAGCTCCATTAAAATTTATTTATAAATCTACCTTTGATAATGTATTTCTTTAACTAACCGTTGTTAATAAAGGAGTAATTGTTCACGTACGCGGCGTTAAATAATCTGCTATTCCTTGAACAGCGTAAAATTAATATAGAGAGTGTCCCAATAAATGTATACACATTTTAACAGCTGATAGCTTAATTGATATCGTTTTCATACCATATTAAGCACATTAGAATTAATGATATCAGTCAAACAAAGCTTTGAACAAAGGATATTTATTCTAAAATGCTACAGGAAGTGTGAAAACGGAGTTGAAGTGCAAAGACAGTTAAGGAGGGAGTTTCATACAGGTCCACCAACGAGACTTACCATCACTCGAATTAGAGATAACTTTCAAGCCGATAGAACTGTTCTGAAGCGTTCCGGAAGACCAAGGACATCGACAATCCCCACTAGGCAAGAAAGAGTACTGGAAACTTATGTCCCATGTCTAAGAAAATCTGTACGGCAAGTAGGTCTTGCGATAGGTATTTCAAAAGCGCCTGTCCAACGCATTGGGAAGCGCTATCAATGGAAAATTGAAATTCCAAGATGAGTCCATGCTATTAATTACGATAATTCAGACCGGTTAGATCCTACTTTGATGAGATCTTGCCAAAAAGGTGGATAGGACAAAGGGGCCTCTTAGAACACTCTCCACGTTCACCAGATATCATACCACTAGACATTTTTTTTATTGGGGATACTTAAAAGAAAATGTCTACGCTATAAAACCTGCAACAGTCGCTGAATTGAGAGCGAGCCATTGAATGAGAACGTACAAAAAAAAATGCAAACGAAATGTTTGGTTACGATTCCATTCCATCGTGTTGTCAACAGTGCCTGAACCAGAACGGATTTCAGTTTGAAAACAGGCGTTGAAAAAATAATAAAATATAGGTGCGTATTATGCAGGGCTACAACAAATCTTTAAAAAATTGCCGATTCATCGGACGATTTCAGTTGCGAAATGACTACTCACCACAAACATATGACAATTTGACACTAACATTCGGCGATTACGACCCCATAAGAATGTCAAATACAATCATATGTACCTAACAATACTTACAAATGTAAAATAAAAAAGAATTTTCATAAAACTCAATTAGAAGAATATTATCATTATATTAATTTTTATGAGAGTAAGAAAATCTGGCTGTAATGAAATTGGAGAAGTAGAATTTATATGGTTTGATTACCAAACAAGGGTGTACATTATGCGTGAGTAGAAGCATTTTCTCACACTTTGAGCACAATTTTCGGGGAATTACGGTAAATTTAGAAAATGGAATTTATTTTAATAAACTCTGATTTTATAATTATTTAAATAGTGTATACATTTTTGGACACCCTTTAGTTGTCGTATCCGCGGTGTCATATTGCGACTCCAGCAATAGACGTAACAGATCAAATGCTTTAGCGGCAACCTGCTGCTAACGAAGAATGAATTATGTCTGACACTTCGACGATGATTTGCAATACCAGTTAGAAGACCCATAAGACGATTGCCGAGCTCCAAATAAGCACCAATCCTCTTGGAAAATATGGCCTCTTGCTAATAATAATTGATTTGAATCAACGATTGTGACAACTTTGTGACACATGCGTGAAATGAAGCACTTTATTTTACGTCGAGTAAGTGAAGCAGAACTTTGACAGATTACGGCAGTTAAGTGAAGGCTTACCAATCGGTTAAAAAAGGAAAAAAAAAAAAGAAAAAGAAAATGGAAGGTCCAAATGTTTGGCATTCCCACAATGCACCAAGTCTAGTGCGGCTTGATTTAATTATACCCAATCCTATCTGGAATGTTGGCGTCACCAAATCGTTCTTGATCTGATATCCAACGGGCTGGTTGACACTGCCATTCGTAACTTAATGTTGGTATTGTTGAAATGAACAATTTTGATTATTATTTATTTTAATTTTCTTGCATTTAACTTGATTTTGATATATCTATATGTATAAAACAGACGATTTTTGTCTGTCTGTGTGATACCTTTGAACTTGACATCCATCCAGCCGATTTTGACCAACTTTGGGACATACAATGTACAATGTAAGAGACAGGTTGTTAGCGTAAAAAATCGATAATTAAAAAAAAATCAATAATCGCTAAAGCCAATCAAATATCGGTAAATTCAACTTTTTTCCTCCGATTTCGTTCAAACTCGGTATATAGGTTATTTACATCATGATGAGCTCAACGATACCTTATTTTTCTTTCTACTCCACTGAGTTTAGCAAAAAACTAAAATTCTATTTCAACACAAATAGATTTCAGTACAAATTTTAACATAAAATTTCCCGCGATTTTCAAGCAGTCCTATACAAGCGTCACTCAATTGCGGTCAATAATATGTTGACTATTTAACAGTCACTTACCATGATAATTGACTCCACCCACATAGTGAAAACCCACGTAAACAGCGAAAATGGGAATTTTTATTGGTTTGTTTCTTATTTTTCGTTGATCTTTCAACCAAATTTCATCAAACGTAACAATTGCTCTATAAATGTATCGTCTTTTACATCCCTGGTAACAAATCGCTGACAAATTGAATTTCAAAAACTCCAAAATAATTGTCGTCTGAATTGCGTCTTCATGTTGCCTGTTTTACTCTTTCATGTCCTCGGCTAACTTCGATTGAATAAATACAGACGACTTCTGTTATATCAGTAACTGCATTAATTCAAAATGTTTTTTTAATGAAAGTACTTTAAAATAATTGAAAAAGATAGACTCTGTTACATTTAAACATGATGCTGTTTTTGTTTGTTCCATTCTAACTGAACGCTTTTAATGATCGACCAGCTGTTTATGACTCCTAGTATATATATATATATATATATATATATATATATATATATATATATATATATATATATAATTTTTAGGGAATTATTAATTCAGCCCTCCCCAGCCAACCTGTTTAAGTTAGAATATGCTAACTACTTTTATTTATCAATGTTGAAAAATTAGGTGTTACAACCCCGATTTTTTAGTTGGTAGTAGACATCACAATTCATATTAAGTCATTATTTAATATGAATTATTTCCCATTTTTTTACAGATTAATAGGTGTAGATATGCTCATCTATCATTCGGCTCCTACTCGTCTCATGTCACTTGAACAGGAGTTGTGGTTCATCCCTTGATCCCAATCCAAGATATGTTTTACCGGTTCTAACTCTTTTTTTCTATTACCAGGGCCACAATTAATTGTCTTAACTCTTTAGTGATCAGACTAAGTAGTCGCTGCGGATCTCCATTATGAGGGTGGCCGTGTTAGCAGTTTGCTTGGCTGCTGCTTCAGACTGGTCGTTAGCAGCTCGAACTCTTTGGTAGCGCTTAGAGAGGCTGCTCCGATCATCAGTTGCATAATATCGGGGTACCTGTAGTGCCATGTCGCGTGTGGGTAGGTGTTCCTGTATGAATTTCCGGTGGGCAGCCCTGAGGTCACATTATGCTCTGCTTTCAGATACACACTGGTTGGTTTATATTGCTATTGACACAGATAATGACAATTAAGGTGTTTTTCCTCTCTCTTTAAAACATAAGTTATGGAAATCACAACAAAAGGAAATTAAACTAAATCAGCTGACAAAGAACACCTACCCAACCGTCTTTCTTTAATATTCGCAGTAAGAGTTCCAACATCTGCAGCGTAGAATCCCTCCTCGTGGAACGAGCAAAAGATATCTTTTGCCGTTTGTGGAACCAGCTTGAATTCTTCCATTACGACCAGTGAATTCTTCTTTGCAGGGTATCTTCCGCTCTACCGAAAAGATCCAAGCATTTACATGCATGGTTTTTGTTTTTACATCCGGGATAATCTGCCGATGGCCAGAGAATTTTCTCTGGAGGTCGCTGACTACTTTTCATGTGCTTCCCTCTTTCGCTGCTAAACACTGGCGGCTATCGTTTTTCCTTTATCTCCCCCCTCTTCACAAGACTGCAGTGTATAAGACGTTTTAGATGATAGCATAGATAAAGTATTTACTCTTCATCTATCTGCGAACATCTTTGTCTTCGGTGACTTTAATGTTCACCACGACACGTTGCTGAAATATTTTAAAGGTACTGATGCTGCCGGTATACAGACATTACATTTTTCCATTGTCCAATCCCTTACTCAAACCGAGGGCTTCTCCGCTCGTTTCTCTAGCCAAACTGAGCAATATGTTTACCTATTGGGCCTTTTTCTTACTTCCTCCCCCGTGCCCTTGCCAAGCTTCAAAATACTGCCCTGTGTGGTAGCTATTAATATCTCCTTCCAAGCATACATTAAACAGGAACCCCTTATACATAAGACGGCTTTCTGGTACCAGCATGCTGACTCGGACATATACAGGGATTTTCTTCGTGATGCATCTTGGACTGACATCTTCAACCTCTCAGTTGAAAAATGCGCCACTGAGGTTTTCTTCTTGGGTTAAAGCGGGCCTTTCTCGGAAATACCAGGTGAAACCTCTATCCTCTACATGGTTCATACCAGCATACCCCGCCGGAACCACTATTTACGGCTATACCAGCGAGATAGCTGTCATTAAAAGAGATGCCTGTTTGCTTCTGGTCGTAACAAATGT